AAGTTCAAAGAGAACACAGGTCTAAATAATGGGAAAAGCTCATATCATTATAGTCTGAATGAAGGGATCAGAGAAGGGAACTGAAGTTGTGGTTGTAATACGAAAAGTTCAGAAACTTGATAAAGTCAAGCATTTGCTTCCAATACCATTTAATGGTTGATGCTAGTATTTGTGAAGAAGCCCGTATATGGTACCATTTGGGTCTGGGTGGCTTATCAGGTAGATATTTAGTTACACTTTTAGAATTATTTCCTTCCTGTTTTTCACTTTCATGTCTTCGTACACATATTTATGTTTTCTTTTTTCCTACCAATATTTTAAGTATATTATTTATATACATTGAATCAGTTAAATTCTGAATGTATTTCCATGTTTTGAACACATCAAAAAAGCTTTCTTACAAAGTGTTTTCATTTTTAAATACTTTTTATGACATGGAATTATTCCTTGACATATTTGTTATTTAGAAATACACATTAAAATTTCCAAATACTTTTGAATTCATTTTATGTGACTAATTTCTAATTATAGAGTAAATTGGTAAGTGTAGCTACTTTCTACTTGTTAAATTTTTTGAGTTATTATATTGTTGCCTAAGACACCTTCACTCTTCATAAAGTTTTAGTACCTTTAATATCATATGTTCTGTATCTTTGTGGTATTTATAATATATATGTCAATTTTTCTGTATTGTATTCTTCATATTTTATGTATATATATAATCAATTATTCTGAACTGCATATGCTACAGATAAATGGTGAGTTAAAATCTCCCCCTATAGTGAGTTAAAATCTCCCCCTATATTTTTTCTCTTAATTTTTCTTTATGTTAAAAAGTGTATTGTTTTTTAAATATGATGTTTTATTATTACACACATGAATATTTCTTCATTGTCAACTATAGCTTTAATTGTAAAATAATAACTCTCAATACTGTTTAACTTAAGTTCTAGAGTCCTTCATAATTTGCTCGTATTAAGTTTTCTTTCTCAGGAAAATAAATATTTTATTAATAAAATTTTTATTTACAATTTTTTAATCAAAGACTTATTATTAAGAATATCTTTTATCATTTTTTGTGCTTCAACACTTTCTTATCATTTCTTTTATGTTTTGCATATTTTTATTTAAATTTGCTTTGGCCTCATTTTATTCTTTAGTGGGGTTTTAGAATATAAATATCTTATTTATAATGGTTATTAAATATTAGCAGAAGATACTGTACAAGCATTTAAGTGTTACATTCATTTATTTATGTTGGTATAATCTATCAAAATATTTTAAGGCCGTTAGAGTAAAATATTTTGTGTTTTATAATTTACATACAGTGAAATGCTTGTCTTAAATTTATAATATAATGCATTTTGATAAATTTATACATGATAAATGAAGAAACACTGCTCTGTTTTAGATAGAAAATATTTTAATCACTCCAGAAAGTTTCTCACCTGCCATAGGCAGTCATTATTGATATCTATCATGATAGTTTAGTTTTTTCTCTTCTTGAATCTCATAATAATAGAATTATACGATATCAGTTTTGTTTTCTCTGATGATTTTTGCTCAATGTATTTTTGGAATTCACTAGTGTTACTCCATGTATTAGTAACTCATTGTTTTTACTGTTCAGCGTTATACAATTGACATGACTACACAATATTTTTTAAAATTTATTTTTCTAGTGATGGACATTTAGATTGTTTCCAGTTTCTGCTATTATGATTAAAACTATCACAAATGTTCTTGGATGATCTTGTGGACCTCTACTTTCCTTTACCTTGGGTAAACGTTTAGGTGTGGAGTTGCTGCATTGTAGAGTAGATAGATATATTTAACTTTATAATAAACTGTCAAACAAATAATAATATATTCTTATATTTGAGAATTTTTAAATGCTTCAGAAATTGTAAAATTAAATATAAAATTTCCCTTCTGTCTCTACATTCACTCTTTCCAAAGGTAACCAGTCCAAACAGTTTCTTGATATATACATTTTATATGCATCTACATATACCTATATATCAACCTCTGCGTCATTATTTTAAGAAACAGAAAGTGATGACAAAGCTTACCTACAAAGTTTTGTCTTGCTGGTTTTCACTTAACAGCATATTTTGGACTACTTTCTATATCAGCACATAATGATTTATCTGTTTGCTTTTATTTATTTTATTTTTCCAGCTTTATTGAGATACACTTGACGTGTAACATTGTGTATATTTAATGTGTACAATGTGATGATTTGATACATGTATATATTGTGAAATGTTTATCACAATGAGATTATTGAACACATCCTTCACTTCACATAATTACTATTTTGTTCTTGTTGTTGTTATGAGAGGAACATTTAAAATCTCCTCTCATAGCAACTTTCAAGTATACAATACAGTATTGTTAACTACAGTCACCATGCTGTACCTTAGATTCCCCAGAACTTAGTCCTCTTATAACTGGAAGTTTGTTCCCTTTAACCAGTATCATCCTACGGCTCCTGGCAACCACCGTTCTACTCTCTGTTTCTATGAGTTTGCCTTTTTTAGATACCACATATAAGTGAGATGGTATGGTATTTGTCTTTCTCTGTCTGACTCATTTCACTTACTATAATGCCCTCAAGGTCCATCTATGTTGTTGCAGTTGGCAGGATTTCCTTCCTTTTTATGGCTGAGCAATATCCCACTGTATATTCATACACCACATTTTGTTTATCCATTCATCCATAGAGGGACAGTGATATTGTTTCCATATCAAGGCTATTGCGAATAATACTGCAGTGAACAGTGGAATGCAGATATCACTTCAAGATAGTGATTTTATTTCCCTTGGATATATACCCAGAATGGAATTGCTGGACCACATGGCAGTTCTATTTTTAATTTTTTGAAGAACCTCCGAACTGTTTTCCATAGTGGCTGTACAAAGTTATATTCATGCCAACAGTGTATAAGGGTTCCCTTTTCTCCACATCCTCACCAACATTTGTTATCTCTTGTCTTTTTAATAATAGCCATTCTGACAAGTGTGAGTGATATCTCATTGTGGTTTTGATTTGTATTTCCCGGATGATTAGTGATGTTGAGCACCTTTTTGTGTACTTGTTGGCTATTTGTATGTCGTCTTTGGAAAAATGTCTACTCAGATCCTTTGCTCATTTTTTAATTGGATTATTTCTTTTTATGCTTTTGAGTTGTATGAGTTCTTTATATATTTTGGATATTAACCTCTTATCAGATAGATGGTTTGAAAATATTTTCTCCTATTCTGTAGGTTACCTTTTCGTTATGTTGTTTCTTTTGCTGTGCAGAAGCTTTTTAGCTTGTTGTAGTCCCACTTGTTGATTTTTGTTTTAGTTGGTTGTGCTTTTGGTGTCATATCGAAAAGATCCTTAACAGGATCAATGTCAAGGAGCTTTTTCCCTATGTTTTCTTTTAGAAGTTTTAAGGTTTCAGGTCTTACATTTAAGTTTTTAATTCATTTCAAGTTAATTTTTTGTGAGTGGTATAATATAGGGATCCAGTTTCTTTCTTTTGCATGTGAATATCCAGTTTTCCTAACACCATTTTATTGAAGAGACTGTCTTTTCCCTATTGAGTATTCTTGGCTCCCTTGTCAAATATTAGTGATTGTATATGCATGGATTTATTTCTGGGCTCTCTATTTTGTTCTATTGATCTATGTCTGTTTTTATGCCAGTACCATACTGTTTTGTTTATTATAGCTTTGTAATATAATTTGAAATAAGGAAGTGTGATGCCTCCAGCTTTGTTGTTCTTTCTCAAGAATACTTTGGCTATACGGGACCTTTTGTGTTTCCATATGAATTTTAGGATTATTTTTTATATTTCTGTTTCTGTGAGAAATGCCACTGGAATTTTGATATGGATTGAATTGAATGGACATTTTAACAATATTTACTCTTCTGATCCATGAACATGGGACATCTTTCCATTTATTTGTGTTCTTCAATTTCTTTCTTCAATGTCTTATAGTTTTTTATGTATAGATCTTTCACTTTCTTGGCTAAATTTATTATTAAATATTTTATTCTTTTCATGCTATTGAAAATGGGATTGTTGTGTCTAAGTATAGCTACCTCTGATGTCTTTTGGTTTCCATTTGCATGGAATATCTTTTTCCATCCCTTCACTTTGAGCCTATATGTGTCATAGCTAAAACCAGTCTCTTGTAGTAGCATCTAGTTGGGTCTTTTTTTTTTTTTAAATCCATTCAACCACTCTATGCCTTTAGATTGGAGAATTTAATCCATTTACATTTAAAGTGATTATTGACAGCTAAGGACTTATTAATGCCATCTTGTTGATTGTTGTCTGCCTGTTTTGTAGTTCCTTTGTTCATTTCTTCCTCTCTTGTTGTCTTCCTTTGTGAACTGATGATTTTCCATATCAGGGTATACTCTGATTCCCTTCTTTTTTTCTTGTGCATATCTACTGTAGGTTTTTGCTTTGTGGTTACCTTGAGGCTTACATGAAACATTTTATAGCTATAACAGTCTATTTTAAGCTGATTACGGCTTAACTTCAATCACATACAAAAACTCTACCTTTTTATCCCCCCCCACATTTTACGTTTTTGATGTCGCAGTTTACATTTGTTTATATTGTGTATTTATTAATTATTTCAGCTATAGCTAATTTTAATACTTCTGTTCTTTAATCTTTATACTAGAGTTAAGTGATTAACACACCACCATATTACAGTATTGGAGTATTCTGAATTTGACTGTATGCTTACTTTTACTGATGTATTTTATATTTTCATATGTTTTCATGTCACTAATAGATTCTTTTCATTTCAGCTTGAAGAACTCCTTTCAGCATTTCTTGTAAGGCAGATCTAGTGGCGATGAACTCCCTCAGCTCTTGTTTGTCTGGGAAACTCTTTTTCTCTCCATCATTTCTAAACAGACAACTTTGCTGGCAAAGTGGCTGGGGTCCTTTGCAAAGCAGACCATTGGAAACCATGATCACTTCCTCTGCATGACTGATATTGATCGCTTCTGTCCTTCTTCCTTGTTCCAAGACATCTCTATACATCTCAGCTTTAGTAGTCTCTGGGTGGGGTGCAACCGAAGTAGTGCCCCAAAAAGGTGGGGAAGCTGGTTGTTCAGCCCGCTCTCCCTTTCACAGTGAGGGGAACTATTTTTAGCTGGAGTGTTCCTTCTTGGTAATGAGCAGTGTCTGCCTGGGGGATGGGATGATGCAGGCAAAATGAAGCTATCTTCTTTCCCTTTTTGTCTGGTTATTCTCAGGTTTTTTGTTCCTCTGTGTTGCTGAACTTTCTTAAGTGGACTCCTGAGCTCCCCCAGAGCTATTTTTGTTTGTGGATAGGTATCTAGCTGTTGATCGTTGTTGGGGGATGGAGACTGGAGTCTCCTACTCTTCCATTTTGGTGACGTCACTCTGGACAGTCTCTCTGTTTGCTTTTAATAGCTGCATGCTATTTTGAATACCTTCTTGTGAGAGTTAAGCCAACTGATGAAAACAGAGAAAACATATAAAGATATTCTCCTGTGGGTTTTAGTTAATATTTGTATTATAGTTGCTTTATCAAGGAACACTTTCACAACATAGTTTTGTACATTATTTTGCTTATTTTAAAAATTTATATTAACTGCTCACTGAAGTTATTGTTTTCTTTTTAGAAGACAATGCAACATCACAAGCTTTGGTTCTTTTTGGTGCCCCTAAGGAAGCAGTTGAGATTTTTTGTGAAAGTAAAATGACAAATACTGAAGGTAAGGACTGAATGTAAATTGTATAGTAATCTATGTAAGATATATTTATATTTACTCATTAGTTTGTGATGTCAATATTATGTTTTTATTAAGAAATAAACCCTAAATGTCATTAATAGTTAACATAGTAATGCTATATAATATTAAGAGTACAATATTGTAATATATTTTATTAATATATTGTTAATAGCAATTTGGTTCATAGAATTGTTTACAATTTCAGAAATGTATGAATTTTTAAAATAAACATTTTCTTTATCCCTATGCTGGGACTGCCAGGTACTAGAACCATTCCAGTTCATTGAGAATATGTTTCTTAGAAGAAAAAGAAAGAAGACTAATGTTTTGTGGGTGTGAAATCCAGAATTAAAAATTGTTCATTGATTGAGAACATAAAATGAGAATCCATAATACATGATCTCTGAAAGTATCTCTGATGTTGGATGTGGAAAGAGGTAGAAAGAAGTGAGGAAATGTATACATTTCACCTATAGGGTTTTGTATTTGTTTCGTCACAGATCATTCTGGTAGAGAACTCTTTATTTATCAAAAAATTTTCATCTTGATTTTGGTAAATTTCTGCTGTGGAGATTTTCAGTTTGACAGGATAAAATTGGGATAAGTTACCATTATGATTCTTTTCCTATATCTGTCCAATAGAAATCTTGAATAGGATTTTAATGTCTTAGCTTAGAGTTTATTGCCCATAGTTAGTTATGGGCCATAGTTAGTTTTGGACAGATTTTTAAAAATATCAAATGATTGATTTATGAACCAATTAATTTAAGACACTGTACATGTGCTATTAGAGTACAAAGATATTTAAGAAATGATCCTTATATGGCATGTATAATCTCGCAGGCCAAATAAAATATAACTATATATCAATTAGTACAACACAACAGAAAAAAATGTTTATATAGAGTAATAGCAGAGATAACATGAGGTAGTTAAAAGGTTCTACACCCAATTTTGATGTGTAGGCATGGGGTTTCCCTACCATCGATTCTCAGACACCAGCTGGGTATCCTACAATTCAACTCAAGTCTGACACTATCTCCCCAGGGATAGCTTCACATCCCACAGGGTAAGGGAAGACCACAGCTACCCCAACTTCAGAGGCCAGTCAAAAGCCCGGGTTATCACCTGTGCTTCTGACCAATCACTGTAGATTGGAGGTTCCAATGACCCCATCTCCCCTTGGGTTTGATTAATTTCCTAGAGCGGCTCACAGAACTCAGAGAAACATTTTAGTTACTAGATTACTGGTTTATTATAAAAGGATATAACTCAGGAACAGCCAGATGGAAGAAATCCATAGGGCAAGGTCTGGGGAAAGGGCTTCTGTGACCTCTCCAAGCTTGCCACTTTCCCCAAATCTCCACATGTTCAGCAACCTGGAAGCTCTCCTAACCCTGTCCTTTTGTTTTCTTTTTGGTGAGGAAGATTAGCCCTGAGCTAACATCCTTTGCCAATCCTCCTCTTTTTGTTGAGGAAGACCGGCCCTGGGCTAACATTCGTGCCCATCTTCCTCTATACGGGATGTCGCCACAGCATGGCTTGGTAAGTGGTGCATCTGTCCGTGCCCGGGATCTGAACCTTCGAACCCTGGACCACTGAAGCAGAGCATGAGGACTTAACCGCTACGCCACCGGGCTGGCCCCCTAGGTTTTTATGGAGGCTTCATTACATAACCATGTTTGATTAAATCATTGACCATTGGTGATTGAATCAACCTCCAGCCCCTCTCACCTCCTCAGAGGTCTGAGGTGGGACTGCAAGTTCCAACCCTCCAAGCATGTGGTTGGTTCTCTGGGCAACCAGCCCCCATCCTCAGGTGGGGGTCCAAAAGTCACCTCATTAAAATAACAAAAGACACCCTTATTGCTCTCAGCACCTAGGAAATTCCAAGAGTTTTAGGATCTCTGTGCCAGAGATAGGGACAAAGACCAAACATATTTTTCTTCTTGTAAGTCACAGTATCACAGTAGTACATGACAAATGTACTATAAGCAAGAAATATCTTCAGAGTTTCGAGTAAGGCCAATTTGTATGGTCTCTAAGGATTAAGAGAACTATTAATGTATAAGAACAGATTTGAAACTGAATCTTCAAGGGTGCATATGGATATGAAAAGGAAAGTAAGGAGGGAATTTAAGCAAGAAGAACAGAGTAAGTCAGATAACAGTGATAAAATAGCACAAAATATGGGTAAAATAAATTACTTTGACTATAGCATAGGGAGGATTCAGAAATGTTCAGATAATTGGTTAAAAATAAAGCTGGAAATGATTGAAGTGCAGTCAAAAAGCATTTTGAATTTCAGGCTCAAGAGCGTGAACTTTATTTCTCAGTCTCTGGTCATATATATATTTGAGTAGGGATGCTACATAACCAAATCTTTTGCTTGGAAATGTTACTGCCCAAGGAGGGTCTTCTGCTCACTGCAAGACATGCCAGTAGTCAAGAGGCAAGGGGGTAGGAAAGAAAGGACATTTTATTACAGCTTGCTAGCAAGGGGGAAGATGGCCGACTCATGTCTGAAAGAAACATCTTAAGGGGGCACAAAATCTCACGGCAGTTATATAGGCCTGGGGGTTATAGGGGACGGGGTTAGGAATGTTGACCCTTGTGTGTTACAGACTGTTTGTCACCACACCAGATCCTTCAGTTGTCATTGATGACGGCTATCATCACAGACTCTCTGTTTGGGGGTCATCACATTCCCAAGGAACTCAAAAGAACAGAGTTATCATCTTATCGCAGCTAGGAGGTAGATGCACAAGCAGGGGTTGTAAAATCTACAGAACAGTTAGATCTCCTGGAGGGTGCATATCCAGCTGGGTTAGTTATTCAGAGGTCATTCAAAGTTACAATAGGGTTTCTCTTTTTACAATATGGCTTCCCTTATGTCAACCTTGTCTTGAGCCAGTATCAGGAATATGAGTCTTGAGTGTGCTATACAGAATATTTGGCTACAGGAGAAAATATGGAAACAGATTATCTTATTATTGTCTAGGCTTAAGGTAATAAGGAGTGCTCTGTGAAGGATCAGTGGATATGAAAGATAGGGATTAAACGGACATTACAAAGGAATTGATAAGATTTGGTAAACTGATTAGGTATATTGATATAGGCACTTGAATGAAAAGAAGATTTAATGATGATTTAACTGTTGCAAAACTTTGATAATGGGAACAGAGAAGTAAGAAAGGAAAGGAGATTGAGTGAAATGAAGATGAGTTTAGTTTTAGAAATAACTGGATTTGCAAATGAGTTTGGTCCCTTCAAGACTACATCTGGCTTTCTGGCCTTGATAAAGTCCAAATGTTTTAATAATAAATAGATTGGAGGAGGGCCCATAACTAAAAGTTTTATTTTGGTACCTCTTTACTTTCTCATCATTTTTTTATTTGCCAAATAGTTCCTGAGTATCAGCTCTGTGCCAGGCACCCTTCTCACTGCTTGGAATGTGTCAGAGCCCTCTCATCTTGGAGCTCCCTCTGTATGTCTCCCTTATCTTTTTAAGCTTTATATTTGATCATACAAATGTATTTGTTCCTTTTTCTCTGTAGCTTTTCTGGCTTTGGCATTTTAGTTGACTGATGTCATGAATTTTTTTACTTCCTTATTTGTGGTATCGATGCAAATAATCCATAATCAATTTATAACTAAAAATTGGGGTGAGTTTGTTATGAGCCAGATCTGAGGACTAGCCTCGGGCCTTCCTTCCCCAAGGAAGGAAGGGCATCAAAGAAGTGGGGTGTACAGAGTGGTTATATAGGGGCCAGCCCAGTGGCATACTGGTTAAGTTGACATGGGCCCTTGGCGGCCCGGGGTTGATGGGTTCAGATCCTGGGTGTGGACCTACACACCACTCGTCAAGCCATGCTGTGGTGGTGTCCCACATACAAAGCACAGATGTTAGCTCAGGGACAATCTTCTTCAAGCAAAAAGAGGAAGATTGGCAACAGATGTTAGCTCAGGGTGAATCTTCCTCACCAAAAAGAAAAAAAGAAATACAGAATGGTTATATACTGTCTTGGAACAAAGAGCATACATCACGTATGATAGGATGTCCCTTTTACAGTTGTCACGAGATTACTTTGCTGGCACAGCCGATCGACGAAAACAGCAGGTCAGTGGTCACAAAATGAGCACAGCAAGTCAGTAATTAATCCTTAGTTTAGGGAGAAATGTTTATCCTTAAAGAAATGCTGATATGGGGGAGGCAACATTCCTAACTTTAAGGACATCGTTCTTGTCTTTGCGACATAGTAAATATTTAAAGCAGATGTACAGTGTATGCTAAACAGGCCACATCAGGCCCTTTTGGAAAAACAAGGTCAGGCCGAATTAGTTTTAAACCAAATGGCTTCGTCATATACTCCAATATATCCTATAGCTTTAGGTTTATTCATGAGTGGTATATTAATTTCTCAATAGGTACATTCTAATTTTAACTCTCATCCTTCCATCCTACATAGGATCCTGCAAGTCCAACCTTCCCTTCTCTACATTCAGTGCCAGGGTTGGGCTCTAGGAAAGATAGGTTTTGGAAGATTTGTAGATTTGGCAAGGAGTTCAGGGTAAAGCTAAGTCTAGTGATGTTTAATTGATAGTCAAGCACTTAGAGGAGATGACTAAGGGGGAGAATATAGAAAAAGAAGATTATTTCTTACCAAGTATTCATGATTAAGGAATATGAGGAGAAATAGGTGATAAAGTGAGAGAAAACTATTAAAGAACATTTCAAGGAAGTGTTGTCTAATATGTTCTATAGTATAAAGAGTTAAAAGAGAAGAAGGATGATATGAGGTTATTGAATTCTGTCACTAAGGTATGGTTAGTGGTCTCTTTATAAAACAAATTTATTGAGCTAAAATTTAAGTACAATAGGGGGCCAGCCTGGTGGTACAAGTGGTTAAGTATGCGCGCTCCACTGCAGCAGCCCGGGGTTCACCGGTTCAGATCCTGGGCGCGCACCGATGTACTGCTTG